AATCTGCACACCTAGAAGTTCTTGCAAGAAATATTGATATCTTGAGCAGAAGTATGAAAATGTTCAAAGTACAAACATTTCCCTTCTCATCATTGTCATTCTATATTTTACTGCTGTGTTTATATTGTTACCATTTTAAAAAATAATATTGCATTTTAAACATACAACAAAAGATGCAAAATCATTCCAAGCCTTTCAGTCGGGAGTCTACCATTACTGAAGTATGTCAAGCTATTGTAAGGGTAGAATAAGGGTAAATAAAGTTGAAAGAAATCTTGATCATTTTGTGCATTTAAAATACTCTGATTAATTTTTATAGATTTTTAAAATTTCTTTGAAAAATAATAATAATGGAAAACTGGCCTGAAGATAACACTAAAGTGAGATAAAAAATTGATTTCTAAAATCAGATTGAACAGAGTTTTTAATTTCTGACCATTATGATGCAGTCCCCAGAGTGTCCACTAGATGGTACTATATTAAAATAATGATTTGAGTTTTTGGTGTGTGTTTTTTAATCAAGATGTTATAAACTAAAGATAAGAATGATGTTTTGAGGAATTTGATTAGGTAGCATGATCTGAAATGACAAATTCACTAGTGAAATTGTATTAAGACTAAATTTATTTTGCTTAAATATGTTTTTCCATGGAATTTTTAAATGCAACTCCATATTGTGCTATCCCTACAAGCCCTGAATTCCCAGGAATCTGGAATTAACTAACTAAACTAAACTAACTAAAACTAACTAACTAAAATAAACTTAACAAAAAAAAATAAGAACTATATATTCATATAGAATATTGCATTTTACCAACTATTGCATTTCTTTGCTTTCTGTTATCTATATTTCACCAATTCAGATGTAAAAAAGTAAAATAAAATAAAAACAAAAATCTTCTATAGCAGATAAAGCTTAAAATGGTTATAGATATGTAGGTTAAAATGTCCACTCACAGATACACGGGATGGGGTGGGGGGGTGGAGGAAAAGGAGACAGTTTAGAAGTCAACATTAATCAAGAGGATTCAGGAAATATAAGACTTCATGTTAATCCAAGTAAGTGTAAATTCCCATGCTCCTTATGATGAAGCATCTGTGTAACCAAGAGACTGATTAAGAAATGTGAGATTTCATTATGCATCTGACTAAACAGAAGTTTCTATTATGACTTCTCCTATTGTTTAAAATGGTAGTGCCTAATAAAAAAAGGTCCTGGCAAATAGATGGGGAAAAAATGGAGGTAGTGACAGATTTTATTTCCTGGGCTCCAAGATCACCACAGATGGGGACTCCAGCCAAGAAATTAAAAGACTCTTTCTCCTGGGGAGGAAAGCTATGGCAAATCTAGACAGCATACTAAAAAGCAGAGACATCACCCTGAAGTACGTATAGTCAAGGCTATGGTTTTCCCAGTTGCAATGTTTGGCTGTGAAAATTGGACCATAAGAAAGGCTGAGCGCCAAAAAATTGAGGCCTTTGAACTATGGTACTGGAGAAGACTCCTGCGAGTCCCTTGGGCTGCAAGGCGATCAAACGGTCAGTCCTAGAGGAGATCAACCCTGACTGCTCTTTAGAAGGCCAGATCCTGAAGATGAAACTCAAATACTTTGGCCACCTAATGAGAAGGAAGGACTCACTAGAAAGCCTAATGCTGGGAAAGATTGAGGGCAAAAGAAGAGGACGGCAGAGAACGAGGTGGCTGGATGGAGTCACTGAAACAGTAGGCGTGAGTTTAAATGGACTCCAGAGGATGGTAGAGGACAGGAAGGCCTGGAAGAACGTTTTTCCATGGGGTCGCGATGGATCGGACACAACTAACAACAACAACAAAATAGAAAAGGTCTTTATGGAGATACGGAATGTTTTTTTTTTTATCCTATGACATTCCAGAGATGATGATAATCTACTCTGGTAATCCACTCCATGTTATGTCTTACTGGCCTTCACAAGCAAGGGTTCACACCAAGTTAAGAAATTGTGGATTGGCAGTGCTGTAGACAACAGTCCATCTGACGCAGCCCATCTCATTCAAGTAGTATGGTATGGTGAACCAGTCTTTTTCTTACAGCTTCCCTGTTGCTGGTTGCCTTTCTCTTAGACTCCTGACAATTTTCTTGTAAATGATACACTGGAGTGTCTTAATGATGGAGCCAATTATTGGGTGCAGGGGAATAACAAACTGCTGGGAGCCTCAGTGAGATTAATTTCAATTATCAGAATAAACAGAATAACTGCTTAATACACAGCGGTTACTGAAAGGGCACCAAAATTGTGTGCGTGTGATATTAACATTCAGAAATATTCAAGTACACATAAAGAAACAAACACAGGTTACTTTCGAATTAGTTTTTTTTTTTAGTGTTTATAAACAGCACTAAACAGAATAAGTTACTTGAAGATGCTGCAGCGTCTCCATCTAAGTCCTACTGGCTTTATTTCCAGAAATGATTTTGTAGAAATTAATAGACTATTAAAAGATGGTTTCTACTGTACAAAGCATAATTAAAATAACTGATGACTGGTTAGTTTGAATTTCCAGTCCATCTTGGACATTTCCAGTCCTACTTGCCAAACTTACAGATAACTACTTGGTGGAATCTTTCTTGGCTTCATCTATCAGACAAAATCTCAAGATCCGATTTTGTCACAGGCTGACCTCCCAATAACCTCCATTGGTGAACTATTCCTAAAATAAAGTTCCAGATGGAATTACCTAGATCAGTGGTTCTCAACCTCTGGGTCAGGACCCCTTTGAGGTTTGAACACCCTTTCACAGGGGTCGCCTAAGACCATTGGAAAACACATATTTTCAATGGTTTTAGGAATAATTTTATGGTTGGGGGTCACCACAACATGAGAACTGTATTAAAGGGTCGCGGCATTAGGAAGGTTGAGACCCACTGATTCTAGATAATATTTTATTGTGATTTGTATCATTTCCAAGGAAAGTAGCAATTGGTGGTCTTTTTTGTGTCTTGTTCATTAACTGAATTTATTTGGTCCTTTGCTTGCTTGAGTATGGCCCTCTTTGCATGCCAGGTTGCTTTCCACATATATTTGCCTGGTTTTTAATGAGACTAAAGTAGAATCTTGGGGGGCAGGTTTTCCTATGGTAAAAACAGGCCAAATTGCAGTTGCAGCATTAGAATTGGAATCCCCCACCTTTGTACATACATGTGACATCAACACACATGCCAAAAGGGGAAGTTTCCATTGCAATGCTATCATATCCAGTTTGGACCTTCCCTACAGATCTTGCTGGATCAAAGAAAGCTATAAAACAGGCATGTCCAACCTGTGACCCATGGGCCACCTGCAATCCTGGACAGCTAGTGATGCAGCCCCGCAAGATTGTGATATTTTAACATTATTGTCTGATTTTTAAATGATATTTAACTATATTAACTATATAATATTAACTAGTTTATGGCCCAAAACAATTCCTCTTCGCTCAAGGTAGCCCAGGCAATGGACTACCTTGCCCATTGGGTTTCTATTTAGTTTGCTACCGGTTTGCTTGTGTATGTGCGCGCACATGACGCTTCTGCGCAGGAGCCTCCTGCCACTGCCGCTACCAGTTCATTCAATCCAGGGCGAACCGGTAGCAACCCCCTACTGATACTCATGCTGCAAAAGGAAAAAATTGTTCCTTTCATGAACACATAATGTCTATACAACTGGGTTTTGTGTGTTTGGAATAAGAATGATGGCAGTCAAATCTTTTTTAAAAAATGGTATGGAGTGTTTTCAGAGCTTGATCTATCTCATAGGACTACAGTAGTTCCACAAATATACTTACACATGTATACACAAATATATGATCGTGTTATTTTCAAAGAATATTATCATGTTTAGAAGCACCACAGAGATGACAGACACACTGTTCTTCTAAAGTATAAGTGGAATCTTATAATGCTGACAAAGATCAGCTTTTATAAACGGAGGAAAAATCATCCATACATTAGAACATAAGTTATTTTGTATCCAACCCCCCTGCTGCTGAATGTAAGGAAGGTTATGATTAAATGGATGTCTATAGATGAGGTGCTTTTGAGAAAAGTCGATCAATTTGAAAGACGGCGGTATGCCAGCACTAAATCTAAATTCATTTTAAAATGCAACTCAGCAATTACATAAATGAAGTCTACTTCCTATGATCCAATTTCCTTGTTTCTCCATAATTCCTGTTGCTCTTTTGAATATCTCAAAAATGGAAAATCCACTTTTCTAAATCTGAGAGGATGAGATAACAGAGCACAAAATGACAGCTAAATGTTCTTTATGATGTGATATGAAATTTGTGGAAGGTGAACAAATCAGGAGCTCTGCCAAACTTATCATGTCTATAACATACATGCTGCATCAGAGAAACACCATAATGCTCTGTCCAGAGACCTAGAGAAGGCTCTGCTATTAGCTAGAGAAGATAAGATTGTCAGTTGCAGTTGTCAGAAGTGAGACTTAACATATGAGAACTGTTTGGTTGTGGGATAATGTATTCCCTGTAGCCTAACTAAACAAAAAAGAATTGCTGGACTTTGATATCTCAACTGCAGTTTGCTTCTGTTTTGAGCCTCTGTTTTGCAATCTGCTTAAGGATATTTTATGAACCGAGCAGCAAACCAAAATCAAAGTATTGTTTGAAGATGAAATGCAAACACCATGAAAAAAAAATTTGTATCAGTGTAAATTGTCAGTGGTGGTATTCAGATTATCTGTGCCTATTCCCCATTGGTAAAATAGGCATATGTATTCCATTGAAGAGAATTAATCATTTTAAAATAGAATTGAATATATTTTACAAATGAAGGCAAATTTTACTTAAGAGTAATTTTTAAAAAATACCTCCTGAGAAATAAATAAAAGCTATTCAATCAGCATGATTTTTTTTTAAAAAAAAAATCAGTCCATCTATTATTGAATGTGGAAGAAGAAAAAATGGGTTTCACTTCTTGACAGCCAATATAGAAAGCAATCATACTCGCATTAGTCTATGCTATGGACCAAACTCATGCATTTTTATTAGGAACAAGCAAAATGAAAGGAAAATGGCTTGCAAGCGTCCAGTAATTTACACAGTTCCAACCGCTTCCATAATGGCAATTCTTTCCTACCTCCAATATTTAATTGACTCAACATTACTAGGAATCCAGATTGCCTTGCAGGAGGCTTTTCCTGCATCCACCTTTCCTCTGGCAGTTTAAGTAAGTGACTCCCCTAATGTCCTTTTCCCTGGGCCCTTCTGCCATGTTAGGGGATGCCACAATATCATCTTGCCTATCTGTTATGTCTCTAGGCAAATAGGCTTGTTCAAGTGATGGCTAGTGCCCCTTCAGGGAGACAAAGGATGGCTGATCATAGGCAGTGTCAAAGTTCTCTGCCATTTTCTCTCCCTTTTCTTCTTCTGCAAGGACTCTAAGAAATACTCAAGTAATACTCAAGTGAGGCAGTGCATTTGACAAGCCTTGGAGATAGATCTTCGAGATAGATTAAGAGTATCTGTTTTAGGCAGGAACTTAAAACACCATCAATATGGAGAAAATGCTCATCTCGGACATGTATTTGGGTTGGAATAGCAACTTCCTTAGTTGTCTCTTGCTAAGGCCCATGGTTTTAGACAAAATGAAACAAAATGGGAGATCTGACTCATGAACTGCTCTGATACGTGACAATAAATAGCTCTCCTGGTTAAAGAGTGCAGTTCTAATGCGATTTCATCATATATTCTCAAGAATATTAGCCAATTTTTAGGCCACAGGAACAAGGAAGTGTTTTTCCTGCTTTCGTATGCTGAGATTCCTCATCTTGGGTTATTTTCCTTCTGTGGCCTGGCAGATGGAGGCCTTCTCCCACATAAGTGAAGTAATCAAGTCCCAAAAGACAATTTCAGTCCTGCTGAAAACAAAAGTAGAGCTTTCACTGACCTGGAGAACAAGTCTACAGATTTAAGAAACTCCATGTAGATCCTTATTGTTGTCAATCTGTCATTTTGTAGTGGAGGGAGGCTGAAATGTAAGAAAGGAATCATCCAGTTGGAAGGTAAATCCAAAGAGTCTAATATATTGAGAAGTTGTGGAACCTCATTAAAAGTTAACAAAACAGAACAATTACAAATGCTGCATATGTCAATTAGTCTCATTCTTCTGCAGTTATCAGTCTAACACAGAACAACTCCTTCCGTGGGCTCTGGGGTCATGGAATTGAGCCCATGTTTGTTAGCTGCATGTTTTCCCTACATCTATGTTATGTTTTTTGTTGTCGTTTGTTTCTTATTTATTGTATTGTTTTTAATCTTTGTTAGCTGCCTCGAGTCCTATTTAGCAAGAAGGGCAGCCATATAAATTAATCTAAAAAATAAATTAAGCAAATGCTTCTTTATCTTTAGGCATCCAGATTTCACAATAATTCCTTCTATTTATTTATAAATAAAAGTAAGGTTCTACATTTGGGCAAAAAAAAAACAAAATACACAGATACAGTATATGTAGTACCTTGTTCAATAGTAGTAACCGTGAGAGGGATCTTGGAGTGGACAACCATTTAAATATGAGCCAACAGTGTGCAGCAGTTGCCAAAAAAGCCAACACAGTTCTAGGTTGCATAAACAGAGGGATAGAATCAAGATCACATGAAGTGTTAATACCACTTTATAAGGCCACACTTGGAATACTGCATCCAGTTTTTGTCACCACGATGTAAAAAAGATTTTGAGACTCTAGAAAGAGTGCAGAGAAGAGCAACAAAGATGATTAGGGGATTGGAGGTTAAAACATACAGTATAAAGAGCGGTTGCTGGAACTGGGTATGTCTAGTTTGATGAAAAGAAGAACTAGGGGTGACATGATAGCAGTGTTCCAATACCTCAGGGGCTGCCACAAAGAAGAGGGAGTCAAGCTATTCTCCAAATTACCTGAGGGTAGGACAAGAAGCAATGGGTGGAAACTAATCAAGGAGAGAAGCAACTTAGAACTAAGGAAAAATTTCCTGACAGTCAGAACAATTAATCAGTAGAACAACTTGCCTCCAGAAGTTGTAAATGCTCCAACACTGGAAGTTTTTAAGAAGAGATTGGATAACCATTTGTCTGAAATGGTGTAGGTTCCCTGCCCAAGCAGGGGGTTGGACTAGAAGACCTCCAAGGTCCCTTCCAACTCTGTTATTGTTATATCACACCCTTATTATTTTTACAAATAACTCAAGGTGAGGAACATATCCAACAGACTTTCTTCCTCCCAATTTTCCCATAACAATAACTCTTTGAGGTGGGCTGAGAGAGAGTGATTGGCTCACGGTCATCCAGTTGGCTTTAATGGCCAAGGCAGGACTTAAACCCTGGCTCTCTTGTTTTCTAGCCTGATGCCTTAACCAGTAAACCAAACTGGCTCTCCCTACCTACCTAAGCCAATTTTCTCATATTCAGTTCACCCAAATATGTCCACTTCTGCAGATGCTCAAGAAGATTTTGGTGGACAAAAATCCAGAAAGTTACTGTTTAGAATTCAGTTGTGTGGAATACTGAGGTTTGAATAAGGGACAAAGGTTGTAGGAGGAGTAGAATGGAGTGTGTACAAAGCTTAAAATGCCAAAACGAAAATAAGAAATGTCATCAGATTGTCCAGATAGGGCATGTCACTCCGAGATGCTATTTGCAGTTACAAACACCAATCAGCTCTCCATAAATGGAAAGATGGAATAAATTTCCAACCAAAGAGGAGTGCTTAAAGCATCACTGTACTTGAATGACATGCAACAGCTTCTACTGAACATAGGTGATCAGTGTCTTAACTTTAAACATCTGAAGAAGTAATGATCATAAGTAAAGCCATTTTAAATATTATGTATTTATAAGGTGCATAAATTCATCCAACTCATCAGTATGGACAGAAGGACAGCATACAGCATAAAAACAATACATCAAATTTTAAAATTCCATGTAACACATACACACACACTATTATATATATATATATATATATATATATATATATATATATATATATATATATATATATATATATATATGTATATATATATAGTGTATTGTATTGTAGGGGTCATTTTTATATAGTGTATTGTATATATATATATTGTAGAGGTCATTTTCAGCATCAAGACTGTGCCATTCCCAGAAGTTCTGCATATATGCATGTATCGTTCAGCTTTTGTAAAAACAAGAGAATTCTTTTCAAACCAAATTGATGCCATAAATATTGGGATATATTGGCTATTCAAATTTTCTGGGATATGGGCCTTCAGTGAACTTGGTTTGGGTCAGAAAAGATTATTCCATGCCATTGTTTTCCAGTTGTTTGGAGGCATTAATAAAAACGTAATATCGAAAAGGATAGAGATCTTAGTTGATTTCTCTCTAATACATTGAACTTTTTATAAGGGCAACCATTTTATGTTAAAATGTCTATGCTGTTCGCTCTGAGACTATTGATATTTCGCTGATGGCCCGAAGGTGGCCTGTGTCCCAGCTCAGAAATCACTCACGTGGCCTCTTTTTTGCAACAGATTCGTGAGCTTAGTTTAGTTAGTTGGTTGGTCTTTTTGGAGATTTCCGATTCCAACCTTTCATGCATGTTTTTTCCCCCCGTGGGAGGTAAGGCGCGATATTGGATTTGAGACAAAACTGCTGCTAATCAATCTCTGTTCCTTCGCTCACTTAGAGGGGAGGGGGAGGAGGTCAAGCGGAGGTTAAAACCTTGGAAGAAGGTCTGAAAATACCTACTCCCCATATATCCCCCCATATATCCCTCTGCCCGAGACCTACCACTTCCCGAGCGCTCTCATTCTTCCCCTTCATTTTCAACGATCGCTTCTCCCCGGTGGGGCGCGCAGATAGATGGGGCGGGAGTGGGGCTGGGGGGAGAGAAATCCCAGCGCCTTTTCTGGTTGCTTTGCATTGATTTTGCTTGCCTTGCCGTTGGGTTAGCCGGCTTCCCTTCTCCTGCGGGGGCTCGTGTCCCTTTAAGAGCCCTGGTGGATTGGAGCACATAACCACATTGTCTGAGCGGCCCTGGCCGGGGAGGAGTCCCCTCCCGCAGCTGCAAACTCTGGACAGAGGCAGACCGAGCGGGGGAGGAGGAAGAGGAGGAGGAAGAGGAAGCAGACGCCGAGGGTGGTGTGGCTCACTCCTGCCTATCCAAGTTGCCCGCGAGCTGCGCCTAAAAGTTTGTAGTGTACCTTTCTGTAGCAGCCGTGATTCCACCACCCTCCCGAAGAAGGGGGCTCTTTCGCCCGCCTCTCCCTCGCCCTCTCTCTCTCTCTGTTCTCCCCCCACACCCCGATTCCCCCCCCGCCTTTCAGCCCGAGGTTTGCCCCGTTTTCTGGGGTTCGCGTTGCAGACGACCAACGCTATGCCCCGGAAGAGTATCGTGGAGGTGAAGGTGCTGGACGTGCAGAAGAGGCGAATCCCCAACAAGCATTATGTGAGTCTGGGGAACGCCGGGTGGGTGGGTGGGTGGGCAGGGTGGAGATGGCCAGGATCGGGCCCGTTCCTGCTTTTCAAATGCAAAAGCGACCCCTCTGGATCGGAGCTCTTAGACAAGGATTCTCTCCCTATGGGCAATGGCTGGAGGGGGGGGAAGGAGGCTAAACTGGCAAAAGAGGCTTGCCAGATGGCTCTCCTGACTGAGGATGATGGAATTGCAGTCCAGCGCATCTGGAAGGGCACCAGCTTGGAGAAAGGGCCCGCTGAAGGATCTCTCTCTCCCCATCCTTTTGCAACTTCTGTGTGGTCCCTTCCTTTCTCGGCTAGATTTCTACTCCGTGAATGTTGTAATTGGAGCATTTCGCCTGTGCCTGTGCTGCAACTTCCTAACGTGCCAAGCAGGAAGTTCTTACTCCTGCCTGGTGGGTTTTTTTTTTTCCCCTTTTCCCATTTCTTTTTTCAATATTGATTTTACAAAGGCAGGACTCTATTGACTATCTAGCATTCTAGATGACTCTGTTGAGAGTCACCTGAGAGTCACCACTTCCCTTGGCAGGGGTTGGGGGTTTTTTTGGTCTCAAAATGTGCTTGAAATGTTAAAATGCTGGAGAGGATGTGGAGAGCGGCTGCTGCCCTGGCAGAGAATCCGCTACGTTGGATCTCTCCCTTTTGAAAAGAAAGTAGTGGCTTTTTCTGCCAGATTTGTCTTCCCACTCCATAGAGAAAGCTGTATGCCTGCCCTGTGATAGGTCAGCTGGGCTGGATGTAAGAGAGGTCTCCTTCAGACAAGATGCTGAAGATGATGAGACATGCCTATTCCCATAGACTCGTAGGGCAGCCTATGAAATACAAATAAAGAAAAAGCAGTTTAAACAGATTTTTGAATAATCTGAGTTAGTGCCCAGTATGCTTTGCAGACATTGTAGAGCAAGAGAACTTTACTGCATAGGTCTGTAGTACTGAATTCTCTCTGAGGACTTGAATCCTTGGGGGCTGATTGGATGCTGCAGCAGCTTATCATCTCGAGAAAAGCAGAATGCATCTGCAGAATAAGCAAATACCTCTCATTTCAGGGTTTACTCTCATCTTGAGTATCTGGTTTATTTCCTGATGAATCCCACAGTTAACCAGCCCTGCCATCACTTCATTTAGTGCAATAAACATTCCTCATGCATTACAGATTGGGGTGGGAATGCATTGTTTAAGCCCCAAAGAGTTGGCTAGCAACTGAACTGTTAAAGAATCCGAGACAATGTTTAATCAATTTGTAGCAAAAGTGGAAAGCCATAGGAGTGAAAACAAAAACAAAAAAGGTCTGGAGGCTGAAGCTGATTGCTCTTGATCATAATGTAGAAAGAAGTTGAGTAGGAGATGGCTAGGATGCAGAGGAGAACAAGGAGTGAATGGTGGTGTAGAATGAGACAGTTTTGTTAGAATACAGGTTTCTCATGTGTTGCAGTCTGTAATTTGTGCTTACTGAATTTAAAGCAAATGACTGCAATGTATACATCTTGGGGGGGGGGGGTTATATTCAAACTTTCTTTTCTTTTTGCCAAAAAATAAATACATTGCTTAACAGACATGAGAGTGCTTTCTTTTTTGGCTGATAAATTGATAATGGGAATCCAATTCTGTTCAGATTATTCTGCCTTTTTATAGAGCTGTCTGCTTATCAACAGTGGGCAGACATTATGCTTATGAGATTTACTTTCTTTTTTGGGGGAAAAAACCTGGAATCAATCTATTGGGAAAATAGTACAGCAATAGAAGCTCCTATCCACTTGGAATTAAGAATAAGGAAAGGATATCTCAGGGCATACAGTCAATTCAGAAATGTGTTTTCAGATCAAAACTCATCTAATGGTTCTGTTCCCACACAGAGGTTATTATCCAGTTATCTTTGCTTTTAGCAATCTAATTCACGATCCTTCTGTGGGTATGTGGGTAAGCGGAAGTTGTTGATAATACTGTTACTTAACGATAGGAAGCTATAAATAGTTTCAAGTCTATTGCAAATTGTCCTGATATACATATATTCATAATGCTTCAGAATTTTGTAAATAAAAGGGGGGGGGGGAATCTTCTCAGGGATCTTTGAATGGAACTTTTTAAAGAAGGATCCTGATTCCATCTTTTCTCTGAGGAGCTCAAGATGATATGTACTTGATCTCTAGGTCATGTTGTCATCAGAAAAACCCACACACAAAAAAAAAGACTCTGGTGATTAATCCCACACTCAGCCAGAGAAGGTAGAGTGGAGAGTCCATTCTGGGAATATCTTTCCTAATCTGAGATTATAACCAGTACATACCACAACATAGCTGGCAGTCTTCCAAAATCCAATACTGGTGTGAGACAGTACAGCCCAGTGTGAGGGAGAGGGAGAGTCAGAAAGAAGGCAGAAAAATAGAGTGATTAACATCTTGTGCATTTTTGTTTATTTCCAAGCAGAACTTTCTTACATGCAGCAGAACTGTATTTCCAATTAGGTTTGTGTAAAATGATGGACCAAGTGCAGTTATATCTGCTTAGCTTTGGATACAGATAAAATTGTTTTTCATCTGTAGACAGCCTGCTATCATGTTAAACTGTGAGAGAGAGAGTTATGGAAAGTCTCAATCTTGCCTGTTATTATACATAATAACAGATACACTTCTGCTTTAAAATGCACCTGAAACTTCTTTGGAAAATTCCTTACAGAGAAATGCTGATTAGACATGCAGTAGTTTTGTGGAGTGTTATAGTGTGCAAGAAAATAGGTGGTATGAGGAAAGGATCCAGGATGCTCAATGCTAATATTATTACTGCAAAGCACAGCAAAAGAGTTCTTTTTAAAAACAAGTTATTTGGGGAATGATAAGGAATTGTGTCTTCTGATGCTCACAGTGTAATCATTGTGATAGTATAACTGTTCATTTCAAATATTTGTAAGGTTTCATTAGCATAACTTGTGTGACTTAAATGAGGCCATCCTAATTCCTATCTAAACCGGAGCAGCTCTGTAGCATTACTACCACTTGTGTGTAATCTCAGACTGTGACTTCGCCTTGTAGGAAGAATCTCTTCTCCTTTTGGAAGGGACAGATTTAATTAGTTCCTGGTTTGTTCAGATCATACTCTGCTGTTACATATGAATGGGTAAACTATGGGTAAACTTGCAAGCTTATAGTACATGCAAAAGTCATGGTTTGCCACTTGGAATGTAATAAATACAGTATTGCTTGCTACACACTGTTGCTACTGTAGTTGTGTACTTTATTTAACCATAATTAATTTTGTTCCTGTAGCACCCAACTGTGGTTCAATGCCAGTTTTGAACCAACTTTTAGCATTAAGCTCCTTGCCTTTGTGGAACATTTATATCTGTCCTCAGGTTATGGATATTTTCTTACTGTCCTCAACTGAGAACAGTTCATTTAGTGTCCATTCAAAGTTACAATGGTGCTGAAGAAAGTGACATACAATCATTTTTCACACTTATGCACACTTATGACCGTTGCGGCATCCCCATGGTCATGTGATCAAAATTCAAACACTTGGCAACTGACCTATATTTTTGACATTTGTAGTGTCTCAGAGACATGTGATCACCGTTTGCGACTTTCTGACAAGCAAAGACAATAGGGAAGCAGGATTCACTTAACAACCATGTGATTCGCTATCAACTGTGGCAAGAAAGGTTGTAAAATACGGCAAAACACGCTTAACAAATGTCTCACTTAGCAATGGAAATTTTGGACTCAATTCCAGTCATAAGGACTAAGTAGTTGAGGACTACTTATAGTCTCTAATTCACAAATGTTAAGTGGGCACACAGTGCTCCAATTGTTTGTCTAGCATTTTATAAAACAGGTACATGGCAGGAATGATCACATCTGGGGAAGAAATGGCAAACTGAAGCTAGCTCCATGATAAACAGAACCAATGACTGCAGTGAAATGAAGCCCCAGTGAGTCGACCAGCTCTTCATAATTGCTCTCTAGACAAGGAGATGCCTGAGATTACCCACAAGTACTCCAGACAATTCTCCTCAGGAGGAGACTTCAAAACAGCAGACGGCAAGGCAAGTCTGCAGTTTTAGAGCTTTGGGAGATGAAGGAATAATCATCTTGCTCAAACCACAGTTGCGACCTTTAAAAGGATACTGGGTTTGTTTCCTTTTCTAACCACTTTCAGAAAATGTTTTTTAAGTGCTTTTCAGCTATTAGGAATCTTTGGATCAGCAAGTTTTATAGCACTGGATGAGTTTTAAATACAAGTTTAAGGACTTAAGTTTTTTTCTGGACTAAGTTTTTTTAATTAACGATAAAGAATCCTTCCTGATAAAGAATACTTTTGCTTTGAATTCTAATAATAAAAATATTCTAATATCATTTGCTTTATCATTCTAATGATAAAGAATACTTTTGCTTTGAATTCTAAAAATAAAATAAAATAAAATAATAAAACAAAACAAAACAAAACAAAATAAAATAAAACGCGTGCACGAAGAGAACCGGTGGTAACACTGGTTGGAACCCACCACTGATTCAGGAAAATGTAAACATGCAGCATCATAGCAACATTTGGAATCTACCTGCTATAGCAACTGTGGAAAACCAGTTGCAGGGAATTAATGATTAGATCAGCCTTCTAATCAGCTGCCATCCAGATGGAGAGAATTAGGTGTGGATTGAGACAATAGTGTAAACAGAGGATTAGATGGAAATTACCCTTCATTGTTATTAAATCATTATTTGCTAGTTTGAAAATGGGGAAATATTTAATGTCTTCTTGTATGTATTGATTATTTCTTGAAAATGTTACTTTCTTATCTTTTTAAAAATACATTCCTTAGAGTTACTTTCAACTATATGGCCTGATCTGGAAAACGCTGCAGGGATGGGGGAGGGAGGGAGGGAGGGGGAGGAGAGAGAGAGAGAGATTGATTTATGAATCTTCATTGTTTGTTACAGGGTACTCTTTACTTATCTTATTCCTTATGTTATTTATGGTGGA